TGGAGAGAGGGAGGGAGGGAGGGATGGATGGATGGAAGGGTGGGTGGAATGAATGGATGGATGGATGGAAGGATGATATGGATGGATGGATGATAGATCCAAGATGCTCCGTCAGCGATGAGAGCGGGATGGGGGACATACGACACTCCAAGCTGATGAGAGGATATGAGGTAAATATTGGATTGATGGAGGAAAGGAGGGAGGGAGGGAGGGGTGGTTGGATTGGTGATTGGTTGGTTGATTGATGATTGATTGATTGAGTGGGCAAGCTGCGGACCGCCGAGCCGAGCAACTTTTAGGTAGGCCAGTTAAATAACAATAGCTCTGTGATTATCAGAGCATTACGTTCTTTTACTTCCTGTAATGCTGAACACAAGAATTCTAAGGCCCTGTTGAGGAAACAGAGCGTAATGGCCTGTGTTGTTTGTTTATTGTTTGTTTGTTGTTTGTTTTCAGAGTAACGAAGATGACCACTCCATGAATGAAAGTGAGGAGGAGGAGGAATCTGATCTTCGCTCTCCGACCAGGTAAACAACTTTCCGTTACTCAAGGCCACAACAATTTACTTACCTGGTTCTTAGACAAAAAATCCAGAAGTCAGGACAACACAGAAGGAAAAGTTGAATTTGACTATGTAGCTGAAGGTAGTAAGAACAGTTACTCGAGCAAATGGACATGATTTTGGAAACGGTTTCAGGTACCATCCACTACCTTTCGTCAGTGAGACTGGACAGTTGTCAGAAAAAAATATATAAGGACAAACTATTTGTCGAATGACTATATTATGCATGGAATTAGACTATAGACTTTCAATACAGACTCTGCTTTCATGTGAATACCAGCATTGTTTCCAGAATATAAGAACCAACTAATTAAATTCATCTGGTCCTTAAAGAAAACCCTTATACACTTAGTATTTTAGATATTTACTAAATTCTAATTAAAAGTTAGAGGCCTATTACACATTGTGCATTATTTCATTGTTTGAATTATAATCTAACCTGAGGCTCTTATGTTCATATCACACTATAGATATTGTAACGTGCACATTTCATTTTGCATTCTTGTAGCAGTATACCGTTAGTGTAATAGTGTATGTTAATGAGCCAGTAGCTGTTTCCAAAACATTGTTGTTTACTATAAACAAGCTCGAATATAGGTCAGCTGTGATAAAATCCAATTAAGATTAACGAATGACGTAAACGAGCTACTTAGGATTAGTGTTATCTCGATCAGGGGGATCATTATATCCGAAGAACTCGCTAATTTGACTTCTTAGTTAATTCCTGGAATTAAAAAGACACCAACGATGCTAAACTGGAAGAACAACGCATAAAACAGATTTAGATCTAGAGTGCCATGAGATATAGGTTTTGGCATATTGGAGACTTCAAGTTTCATGATGTGAATATAATTTGCAGTCAGAGTGAATGTTTTTCCTCCTAGTCTATTTTCATCTTGCTTGATGTTACATGTAACTTTCAATAAATTGGTCTGCCCCATGATAAAATTGGTATTGCCGGAAGTTTCAGGTTCGCGGTGCCATGAGGTTTAGGCTTTGGCACAAGAGATTTTACAGTCAGAATCAATTTTTTTTTTCTCCCTGAGCCGTCTATTTTAATTTATCTTGCTTGATCTTAACTTTGAAATGTCCAATGAATTGGTTTAGATCTGCCCCATGGTACAATTGTTACATTGTACTGTAATTCACTTGATGTTCGCGGTAGCAAAATTTCACGGTCTGAGAAAAATCGACATGTTCATGGAACTATATAATCATGGTGGCGACAGGTGCAGGAAAGAGAAAGCCCAGGAATTATTTCTTAACTGTAATGATAAGTTCATGGTACAGAAGTGACAGTGAAAACAGTGAACATAACAGTACCGTGAAAAAATCAGGAATTACAGTATCGTGGGATGTTTACATGTAAGGCCCGTGGTTGGGCGAGTGATCAGCGTGGTGTTGTGAGTTCGTTAGGCTGCCAGATTAATTGCGTACGGTCTCACTTCCCAGGCTGATCGTGTTTCCCACTGTTTTGTTCCAGTCTAATCCACCAGAACCGATTTTCTATGCCTTTGCTGAGGCATGCGCAGTTAGCGGCACGCGTCGAGTCTTTGTTTTGTTGTTCTAGCGATGGATGCAGAGAGAGTCTCTTTACTTGTCGTGTGGCACAAGTCGTGGGAGGTTTGTGTGTGGTTCTGATGCTGACTTTAGTTGGGAATCATGACTAAAGTAGAACTTTCGTCAACCTGCCTGGAAGCATGGATTCGTGGCAGTTCTGGATCGAACAGTTGGCTAGATGCTGGCAACCTTTGCTTGTTTGTGGAACCAGAGAAACAGAAGAGATGGACTGTTCTGAAATTGGTGACTTTAGTTGTGAATCATGACTGTTAAGTTTGTGGACTTTCGCCAACCCGTGTGGACCCGAGTTCCAGTATCGAACAGTCAGCTAAATACAGGCAACATTTGCTTCTTTGTGGAACCAGAGCTGGGCTGGAGCATCTTCATCACAGCTTTGTTGTGGCACTAGCAGAAAGACTGTGTGGGATGTTTGTCTGCAAAATGTATCTCCAAAATCATGCTTGGTGGAAATAGGAAACTTGCAATCAACAGTTCGTTGACCTATGCATACCGGGAAATATTGGATTTGTCATGGATTTATAATCAACAATCCGTCTGCTCACCAGAAGCCATGGATACTCTGTGGTCAAACATGAATGACTAGAATGTGCTACAGTGTCAAATGTACATGTATTTCCTTGGGACTTTTACATCAACACAGTTTATAAGTCTAAGTTGTGGCACAAGCTGAACTGGATTTTGACAGTGACCAGGAGTATGTTTTGTAAAACGTATAAATTCGTGATCTACATGTACAATCCGTGGACCCACCAGAAGTCATGGATACTCTCTGGTCCAACATGAGTGACTGGTTGTACTACTGTAACAGTAACCAGGACTGGTTGGTGATTGGGGTTCATGTGTTACTTTTTGAGCTGGCAGACAAGTCATTACAGCTTTGCAGGTGTCCTGCTACTGAGAGACTGGGTTGGAAAAGGTGTTTGATCCGTCTTAACATGGTTACTTAGTAGTATGCAGGTGTAACTGCACCCCAAAGATGACAATTTTGTAAACCTAAAAGTACTCCAGACTTGCTTTTACTAGGGTAATAGAGGTCCATCCTGGCTGTGATTTTTGCTTAACTGGCACACTACTGGAAAGCCCTTAATATATACGTAAGGAGCCCATATATATATTATATAGTGTACAGGTGGTATTTCTCGTGCAACGCATCACACTGCAGTGAAACACAACAAATGTGGAAGGAACTATGCCACCGCAGGGCAAAAAAAACTCGGGTGTCTATGACATGATTAAGACATCAAATTTTTGAAAAATATGTGTAAAAATAAGAGAAGGGCCAGGGTTAAGCCGTGGTCCATTGTAGTTACTGTAAAGAACTTGAGAAACCCCCCCCCCCCCACTACATTGTACATTCAGTGGCTGTCCTCCATCAAACCAGTTCAATTTTCATTCCTGTAAGTTCGTAATGTACCAGAAGTGTGACACAGGGTTTTGTAACTTTGCCTTGCACAGGTCCCACACAAATTTAACTGACAGAGGGCAACATGAGTTAAGGTACAAGTCCAGGGCCAAGCTATGTACAGCATAGCTCTCTCTCTCTCTCTTTCTCTAACTGTGTCTGTAACTAAAAATTTGTAAACTGTCTATAGGTCCCACAAAATCTACAACCTGCATTACATGTAGTTTACAAAAGGTACAAGTACAGGTCCAGGCTGGACCTAACTCTCTCTAACTGTGTATAGTGTACTTGTAACTAAAAATTGTGTAAACTCTTTGCAGGTCCCACAAAAACTACAACCGGCAGGGCGGCAGCATCAGGAAAACCGGCTGGCTGCACGTCAAGAACTTTCTGGAACACAAGAAGAAGAAAGTGGAACTGTCCAACAAGAGGAGGTGGAGAAAGTTCTGGGGTAAGATGGGAAAAATCTTCAAGATTTTATTAGTGAAGTCTTACTGTTAAACCCTCTCCTAGACTCCTTGTTCTAACACTAGCTTTGTTAAAGGTGTTCTCCACCATTCCGTAGTTGCTTACAGTATTTGAAACAATCCTGCAAGCATATGGTAGTAATGTTTCCAAACAAATTTTGCATTGCAAACCTGCTTTCCTTGTTCGTCCCTCGAATATATACCAACTCCCTCCTTCACACCCTTACTGTTAACAGGTGGCTTTTGTTGTTACGTGTTAATTACAGCAACTGTAGTTTTTTCAAAGGGCAGATCAAACAACAAGCGAAAATTAAAATTGTAGAAACTTGTAATCTAACTGTAGACCTAAGTAAAAGTTACATGATTGTCTTCTCTTATAGGTGTACTAGTTTAGGACTAACAGGTGTTCGTTGTTGTTCCCACAGTTTGTCTGAAGGGCACCTTGCTGCTGTTTTTTGAGTGCGACGAAAAACAGCCGGTCGACGAAAACTCTGAACCAACGCACACGCTCTGTAAGTACCAATATTCCTGACAGTGTCTTTTTAACTCAGAAGAAGTGGTCAAGTTTTGGTTCTTTACCCTTCTGGTATTTAGTGCCATGCTGAATTTCTGGTTTTTGAAGCAAATCACAAATCTTTAATTAAATTTTGTTTGTTTTATTCAGATCTCCACTGTGTTTGAATATGATTCTTTGAATAAAAAATACAAAAAATTAAAAAGTGTACATTGAGTATTCTGCTGGTAAACAGAAAACTAAAACTATCTCAGATAGTTGATAGATGTTCCTGCTAAATAAATACTATAAGTATGTGTTGCGTTTGATCATATTTCCACACTGGTCTCGCAGGGCCTGCATTAGTGTCCGCTATGAGAGACAGGACATACTGGAGTAACTTTATCAAGTGTACCTCACCGGATTAGTATAAACTAATCCGGAGGCATGATGATGATGATGATATTTCCAAGTAATCTCTTGATGTGTGACATGCACCAATGGTATTAAGCACTTATATAATATATATATATGTCATTTTTGCTGCAGTTGTTGAGGGGAGTATTGCCCAGGCAGTTCCTGAACACCCGAAGAGAGAAAACATTTTCTGTCTCAGCAACGGTTTTGGAGATGCCTACTTGTTCCAGGTAGGTTCTAGTACCCACGATTTGCTTTGCAAAGATTTCCTAATTAGGTCTATAATTGTTGTGCAATTATTCGCATGACTTTATGTAAATTGAAATGAGTGAAATAAAATTGATGACTTTGACGTGTTTTCCACAGGCTTATACACAGATAGAAATGGAAAACTGGATCACAGCCATTCACTCAGGTGTGTTTTTACCTTACCTTTCACACACCTGTCCTGAAATAAACACCTTTCTGACAGTTTTGAAAACGTTATTATGTTTACCGAAGGAGAACAAATATTGTTTTTGCTCAGTTTCCTCTTCTCCAAACACGTAAGGTCAATGACCTGAACCAGACGTCTGTCACCATGGTAACTAGTGTTGGGTTACATAATGTTACAATTTTATTATTGTTACATTCCAGCCTGTTCGTCTGCGATAGCGAGGCAGCATGGGAAGGACGACACGCTGAAGCTGCTGAGAGCAGAGGCTCAGAAACTGGAGGAAAAAGTCGACGCCGTGAGTAGCAATTTTTACATCTGATTTTCCCAAAAGTGGAACTCGCTGCCACCAAGTACAGTAGGGGCTAGTTTAGAGTTGGATGTTCAAGGGTTAGGTTTAACAAGTCGTTCGGTGTCATATAGCCAGCATATATGCTGAAATAGAAAGAAGACAGTCTGATGGAAAGTCTGTACCCAAGTACAGGCAGAATGAATTATTATATCAATGAATTCTGCTTTTTTATCATCTTCTCTTGCTTCAGTTTACTTTGAAACGTTCAAGAACCAAAGAAGTGATCGGAATGGTCTCATGTTTCTTGAATGCTAAAATGTTTCCCTCCCTGTCCAGGACACTAAGATGAAGAAGATGGGAGAACTGCAGATGGCCGTCGTGCCTGACCCAAAGAGCAGAGAGGCCATCACCAAACAGGTACAACTGTGCACAGTTATATGTTTACCTTCGCATATTGTATACATTCGAAGGGATTCATTCCTCAAGCTACCGACATCTTGCACACGCAGTCATCCCTCAGTAAGACATCTGGAGCCGCATAGTTCGCATTTAGAACTTTTATTCAGCCTGTCACATGACCGGTTTCCCCTGTGTGTCTTCTTTAGTGTACATAGGCTAAATGACACAAGTAACATGAAGTTCTCACTTATATAATTATACCTTTCCAGTGCATAATGTGTTTCTTCTTCTGTTCCAAACATGTAAGGTCAATGACCTGGACCAGACGTCTGTCACCATGGTAACTGGTGCTGTAGCAGACACCCTGTGGTGTTGGGTTACATTCTGTAGCAAGTTGCAGGACAGAGTTAGTCTGTGTCACAACATATATGAAATGTGTTTAAGTAACAATAAACAGAGCAGTACATGTAGTTTGTTAGATTGATTCATAGATTGATTGGTAATTGTTTGATTGATCATTGATTGATTGATCTTCGGTGTTTTGTTTGCAGATCACTCAATGGGAACAGAACCTTGAAAAAGTCCAGTTGGAGCTGTACAGATACAGATGTTACATGGCATCACTACAGGGCACTGAGCTGCCCAACCCTAAGGTTTGTACAGTAACAGGTTTATTTAGCTGTAGTGAACAAACAAACTGATCTACATGTACAGGAATCCAAAGAGAATAGCATTGTTGACACAAAGATTGGGTGTCGAACACATCTCTTTTTTTTTGGGTCATAATCCTGATGAAGCTATTCAGTCAAACATTTTTGGTGAGTTAATTTTGTTGTTGAGTTGGAGAACAGTTTAACTTTCTTCACATCCCTATTTGTTAAATGAACTATGAACAGTGCTTGAGTTGATATATGAACTGATCTGTTGTTCCTTATTACAGACCCTGTTGGCGTGTGCCTCCAAACCTACCAAAGCAGCGCTGGCCAGGCTGGGCCATTTCTCTGTCTCCTCTTTCCATGCTCTGGTAAGTCAGTCAGGTGTAAATCTTATTTCTGATCGTAGTTACGCTGCGTGACACATAACTGAGGAAGACGTTTTGCTCCAAGAGAAAGCGTTCAAAGTCTCCTACAGTTTTCTTTTAAATCAATGAATACATCTTTGCCTGTTGGGATTGATGTGAATTAATTCTTTGTTTTCCCCCTCAGATCTGTGCCAGAGCTCCTGTCAACTCCTCAGTCACTCCCTTCACTCATGTGAAAAAGGTAGGTTTACCACATGGACATTGCGAAATGCTTTTAGTTGCTAAGTAATAATTCTGTATTGAAAAGTCCAGATGAGAATTAAAACTGCCATGTTAGATTTGTCTGCTTGTTTATTTCTTTGAATTTTATAACTTTAATTTGAACTCTTAATTTGAATTTTAACATCGTTGTTTTTGTATTCCATTTTTTACAGAAGAAAGGCCTGGTGAGTAGAGAAAATTAATTTTTTTTATCACATTTCATCACGTTTTGCTTTGTGTTATTTGTAGTAATGAAATTCCAGTTTTTCCCAGTTCTTTAAATTTTCAGAGACCAAACTATACATTTTGAGAAAAGAACATGCTATATACCACATGTATAATGTGTAATCTCTACATTGGAATTAAGTAGGTATATATAGCTGGTATAACCCCCCTTCCGCGTAGCACACCAGTTCAACATTTTACTATGACTAATACCAACACAGATGAACTTTCATGATAACATGCTATATTTTTTTACACTCTCAGCTCTCCACACTGCGAGGAAGTGACTCGAAAAAGAAGATTCGAACGCCGACCCGGGAGCCAAAAGGCGGGACCAGCGTGTTCGGGACCCCGTCCTCCAGTGTGTGTGATGTGAGGGAGACAGACCTCACCAAGGGAGCTGACAGCCCCAGGAGCACGGCTGAAAGTGTAAGTCTGCATTTTGATGTTATGTTTCGTGCCAGGGAGGTTCAGGGGGTTCGGACGACCCAAGGCTCAAAGGTCCACTTTTTATCTAGAGGTCAAAAATTTTTCTTTAAAAGATGGACTGATTCGTATCACCAGCGGGGCTGGAATTGTAGAAAACTGCTCACTTTGTCATTGAATAAAAAGTTATATCTGATTTTTTTCTTTCAAATCCTCTCAAAAACACAGGAAAATGCCATTTCCTGGGTCCCTAATGTACTGTTGTGTTCATGTTATTTTCAATGTACTCACTACAGTCTGTCAGAATCATTATAACTGTGGATAAAATTGTCTTTCTCCATTGTCTTGCATGCATACATGTGTATATCATTTTGTTGCTGTCTAACCTTCATTGTCACCGGTGTTGTTAACCAAACCAAACGTACCCCCCCCCCAACAGGGCATAGCAGATGTAAGTCGCCCCCCCACCCCGAGCGGCGCCCTGTTGTTAGACAGGCTGGGGGTGCGCTGTATCCGGGTGGGGCTGCCTAACGACCACGTAACCATGGTTACGGTGCAGTCCTGGATGGCGGTGCAGGATGTTCTAACCATCGCATGTCTGGTGAGTGGTGGTGGGACCTAACAAACACCGCTCCAAGCAGATGGAGGGTGTAATCAGTGGTAGAAAACTTTTGTTCAGTGTTCTGCAATATAGCAGAATGTCAAAATTTTGTTTTGGAATTCGGAAATATTTTCTGCAAATACACGCATAAGTCTGGATCTAAACCCATGGCATATACAAAACTGCAAGTTGGTAAACATTGTACATGCTATTTGTAGTAAACACAAAACATGAAGCCACATCTGCTTGGAGATAACTGGTGTCATATTACACTAAAATCATTCTTCCATACTAAGTCTTATATGTGTGACTTGGTTCTCCGTACACTTTTTATACAACTTCCAATTGCAAAAGTCTCTTTTGTACTGCTCAACTCACAAGTGTTAACCATAACAAAACTCATTTGGTGAATGTTTTTACTCTTTGCTTTTGTGTTTGTGATCATTCATTCACCTTGTTTTAATTTGTTTCTCCAAGTATAACAATGCCTCTTTAACTTGGTACATCCACCAGTTTATTACATGTAGCTTATATTAAATATGACCATGTTTCTGCGTGTATAACAGAAGTGCGGTGTGGACCCTCAGGACCATTTTTTTCAGCTGAAGCAGTACAGTACATCATGTACATGACATGTTTGTATAACTCTGGCCTTTGCTGAAGGATTGAGTTTATTGTTGATATGAAAAGTTTAGAGTTAAAACTTTAGGTCCAATGCAAAAAAGTTCTCTCACCAAGAGCTGAAGTATGACGTCAACACTGGGTCAAAGGTATCTTGTAGACGGTGTCGGCCCCCGTCATGGTTCAATGAAGGGTGATGGGCACTGATGTATATGGCTTCCTTCACCCCTCTCAAGAAATATACTGTCTTGTTCAGTGTCCAAAATCCTTACAGTGTCAGGTGAAACAAGTGAACTTCAAAGAAGCCACGTGACAAGCCTCACTAGGTCAGTCTACTGAGGAAGACCAGAGTGACTGGTCAAAAGCTCTAGGTGAGAGAACTTTTTGGTGTTGGATCAAAAGTTTTAACTTTAAACATGACAACTTTTTCCCGTATAACAGAAACGTGGGGTGGACCCTCGGGACCATTTCCTGCAGCTGAAACAGTACGGTCCAGACGGTATAGAGCTGGTCACACCAGACAGGAAAATACTCATGGACAACCTGGTCAGTATTCTGCACAGATTTACATGTATCATAGAGTCTTGATCAAACTGTCAACTGTCAACATCCAGTGTTCTATCAATAGTCATACATTTGTACTTGGAAAGTTTCCCATAGCAGATTTGTCTCCAAATTTGACTGAAAACCTTGGATCTTTGCAAATGTCAAGTATAAATTTCAAGTTCTAACATGGACATCCCATGTGTTCTGCAAAGGTTTTGTCACATACACACACACACACATATCTGGGCTTTGAAATTTTGATTATAAAATTGTATATAATTGTTGGATTGTTAGGAAAAGTTGTCAAAAAATTTCCCAAGATTAGCACTAAGACATTCATACTTACAATCATTACTTCTATCCATCCCCAGGTGTTTGAAGAAGTAGTTGTGTCCCCAAAGTGTATCTACCAAGTGGAGCTGGAGAGGGAATCGGCTGGGAGCTTCGGTGAGCTGCGGATTATTTTTCAAACTTTCTGCTTACATTGTCACCTTGGGCCAATAGGTTACTGTTAAATGCCAGTCCCTCCATGGCCTACCATGTCAAGACTACATGTACATCAAAACATCTAGAATGGATTTACATGAGCATGAAAGTTCATCTGTGTTGATAGTTACATGTTTCAAGTTAAAAACTTTTGATCCAACGCAAAGAAGTTCTCTCACCTAGAGCTTTCGACCAGTCACTCTGGTCTTCCTCAGTAGACTGACCCAGTGAGGCTTGTCACGTGGCTTCTTTGAGTTTGACGTCAACACTGGGTCAAAGTTATCTGGTAGATGAATTTGCAAGAATTATAACAAGAATTCATGACTTTACAAACAGTGATTTGCATGCCTGTACTGTTGCAGGTTTCCGAGTGGATGCAGAGCTGGGTGCAGACGGGGAGATGGAGGATGAGCTCAGGGTGTTTGTGTCAGCTGTGGAGAGGGGAGGACTCGCCCACCAGAAAGGTACCTACAAAAAAAGGTCTACCCGTGATCTATGCAGAGCAATTAGGGTATGGTGACCATGTCCATTTCCGTAGCCCTTGGGCGACACACAGTTGTGCAAGGCACTACAGCAAGGGGCTGGTCCGCTGGTAGTGCTGTGTGTTTGACCTTCCTACACTCTTTCTCTAGTGCTAATAAGCACAGAAAGAATTTCTTTCAAGTCATATATACTGTTAGTATCCTGTCTTTGTTTATACTGCTGCGGGGGTCCCTGACACACAGATGGGCAGCAGTCAGCTGGTCTTCTAATGTAGAACTTGCCATACTCTTAGTTTAACACATGATTGTACAGGACTTGCATTCGAAAGGTCATCTCAAAGACTGTCACAGTTAAAAATGGCACAAACTGCTAACTCAGCTAAGCACTCAGTTCTTGTGATACAGAGTATGCATGGCAGTTTTTTAACACACACCACTGCCTAGCCTGGCAACCTGCTGTACCTTTCATCCTCTCTGCAAATAGCTTAAGGAAGGGACATTAGCTAAAATGAGAGAGGATGAAAGCGACTCAGCAGCTAAAAAAGGTTTTGATACTATAGGATAACCACTACTATACTGTGCCAAAGGGCGATAGGAACGAAGGCACATGAAGTTTTTAACCAATACGTTGCCAAGAGTCCTTCTTATCTTTGTAACAATCTTTGACTGTATTTCCAGATGTGTTGGCTGGAGATGAGGTGCTGGTTATTAACGGGAGAGTAGTGTACGATCTGGACATGATCTACATCGAGAGCCTGCTGCAGGGACCTGCCCTCACACTCACACTGCGCACCAACCGGCCTGAGTCTCAGGTTTGTTTGTTTGTTTGTTTGTTTGTTTGTTTGTACCTTGTACCCAGGCCAGAGTCGTTGGGGTATTGCATGGTGGAGTGTCTGACTGTCTGTCTCCTTCCCTCTTGGTTTGGATTTCTGTAATGCCCACAATCATGACACTGATACTTGTAATGATCATTTTGGCATACTCATTTTCACCTGAGTGAAATGAGGAAAGTCGTGCAAGGTGCCTCTCCCAAGGGCACAAACCTTGTGCCCTTGGGAGAGGCACCTTGCACGACTCCGGCAGGATTCGAACCCGGGACCTCTTGCTTCTGAGCTGAATGCTGACTGTTGTTACGCCAAATGATCGGAGTCAAGGCTTCTGCAGTTGTTTTTGTAAAATGCACTTAACACGGCTTTCCTCACTTTAACTCAAGTCAAAATTAAG